AGATTTTGAAATACAATGTACTATGACGAAAAAATCCTTGTTTTGTTTTGTTAAATTGAAAATAAACCGATAAATACTCACATGACTGCTTTATATCCTGACAACAGAACTCTTGGATCAATAAAAATGTATGTAAATGAGTTAGTAGGTGTTTTCATCTCCATTTCTTTCCAWGTTTTCACAGTTTGAAAACCTCTGAGCCAGCAAAACTTGATAGTCAATATACCGCATTACACAGGGAGCACTAACTAAGGCGTTGCTTTGGCGCCAAAATCGTCATTGCGGAGATAATTGCGGACTTCATTCTTGTGGGCGACCCGAGTAGCGGTAAGGATTTAACCTATGACCTRTATTAATTACACCCTTCTGTGCATAGGAATTACTGTTATACAAATGTATGCCTGCCATTCATAATGCCGAAAAAACACTGCAGTTTCCTTGAAAATGGATGGCAAATTAATCCCTGGTGTTTTCAGCTTTCTGTAGACTGTATAGATTAGATGAATACCTTCTTTAAATTGATTGATTATTTTGTACAGACGATGAAGATCTTTTAACAAGTATCTATACCTCCTCGCCGCAAGAAGCAAAAAGGTAAGCTTAGGAGTACTTAAGTTAAATTGATTATTATAAAAGGGACCTGGTGTTCTTATTCCGCTTTAACGCTACTTTCATGAAATCTTAAGCTGGCAGAACAATTAAGAACTTATAATTCATTTGAGCTTAAATAAGTTTCACCCCCGAAAATATATTTCTTGCTGTCACTACAAAATCAAGTGTGAGGTCGAACACAACATGTGAGCTAAAAATAAGCGGGGCGGCCATTACATCACACAGGGGCTACCTGTGCTGTTGGGTTTATACTCCAGTTTTGAATTCTATTTTTTCAATCAAGCACAACTTTTTATTGTCTTCTTTGTAAACAGTGTATTATTACATTAAAATTGATTATCTGCTTAATTCCTTAATGAAAGAATATATTACATGCTTTCAAGGTCTGCACATTAGGATCACAGAAGTATAGTATTTCGAAGATGTCAAAAGCCAAAATTAATTATGAGGGCTCTAAAGTAGTGAGATTCAATTTTTGTAACAATGTATGTTTTTTCATTTTTATGAATTTATAAGTTATAGGTTTAATCGTATGAGGAAGTGGCTGATCCCATTAAAGAGTGCTCTGCAATACACATAAAGTGTAGAGATTAAGAGCGACTGTCCAGAAAAATCGAGCAAAATTGAAAATATCCGGCCACAATGAAAATTTCAAATTCCTTGAAACTRAGWTRCTGGASACCTTTCTGTGAGRCTACTAACGTGGTCTAATCGGTTTTTTGATCTACGTTGAAAAATTTGAGTTTTTGAGCAAAATTGGTTTTACCCTGATTTGGTCTAAAATTAGCATATGAGACCGCTGAAACTTGCAACTTTRTGAAAGTTATTTCTTCAATCAATTTAAATATTTTTGCGCAATTTTTTTACAGAATCCGAAAGAATACATCCTAAGTTGTTGCCCGGAATCGGTTTTGGCTTTTCAATGTATTTTTCACGGGGAGGAAAAATGACTTTTTCTTGGCCGGTTTTCAAAGCTTGATTTGAGTTGAAATTTCCGAACACATTTTRCTCCATGTGGCCATTCTCCAATTTTTACCAAACTCACCCTGAATGAGGTTGAAATATCAATATAAACCGAGGTAGAAAAATATTTCTGGGTTTTTACACTGGTAGTGCGATAGGAGCGATCAAATATCACGATTTTTTGACTTGCAATATGCAAATTAGCAGTTTGTTTACATTTACTCAGATAGANAAAAATACGCAGTCGAGGACTGCATGTGACTCAGGCGAGATATACAAAAATACTGAGATATAAAATAGGATATAGAGAAGAATTGACCTGATAGAGTGGAAATAAAGTTCATTAATAGAGTAGAATTGTGCAACATAAATAGTGCGAAATTCTGCTTATTGTATTGTTTTACATCTTTTTAATTATGACTATTTTGTAGTAAATAGGGTAAAGTGTCGGACGCTTTAAGTGTTTGTACTCTAATGGTAGTAAACTATGAAAAAGTAGGTGGACCAATTTATTCAACTAGTAGAATTTTGTATAATTTGTCACAAAATACTTGACAGGTATAATAAATGAACTCCAGTAGACACTTAGACTATGATGAATTTATGATTGGATTTTTGGAGTATCATAATTGGTTATAAAACTCATTAATATTCATAAGGCAAAATACAATAGAAATCATATGTTATAAAGAGAGATGTATATTTCATACAGATCGCCCACTCATATTGTATAWATTGCATACAGGTTTAATGAAATTTATTGTTGACAATTAAGGGAGTATGCGAAAATGAATGTCTTACATAACAWTGCTGCTTAGTAATGATTTGTCACCCCAGATCATGTTATAAATAATTGTACAAAATTCAAGTTTGTGTCATTAATTTTCTTTTATTATAAGATTGCAATCAATTACATGATGTTAGATATGAAACATGTAGTAGACTTGAACTTGAATAAATCTGAACTACTTAAACTAGCATGTATATATATTAACTGTACTATATAATATATCATGTTTGAAATTGTTGAAAAGTTGAAACATCTCAAAAATGTAAACTTAAAGTGTAAAAAAAATAAAGCATTAATAGTGTTTTTTGATTGAACATCACATTATATATATCATTTATAAAATCGTAACGTGAAACATATCAAAAATATAAACTTAAACCATATAAAGAATAAAAATACAACAATATTAAGTTATTGATAGTGTTTTTTGATTAAACATCTTCAAAGAAATTGAGAAATTTTCTTGATGCTTTTATCCACTATCATGCTTTGTTCACCTGCATGTAAGAGAAGACTCTCAAGGTCTTTGATTTCGATTTCTTCCAATGGTGTAGGGTGCTTAATCTTGTGCAGATATGTTTGAATAGCATCATTAAATGCTGTGTAGCTGGTCATTGCTGTTGATGTCTTAATCATGAGTTGACATACCAATTTTGTGCAGACAACTGAGGTGAGGATTGACATTTTACAATTTGGACATTCAATCATGTCATCTTCACTTTGTTTTTTTTTGTCGATAGACAGAATATGGTTACAAACAATACAGCACTCTGAGCTCTTTACATTAGGAGCTATAATTTTGCCAGTGATGTGGTGGTCTTCCAGATCTGAAGTCTTGACTTTAGCATCAGCAATATCACTTATTTGTG